TGGATCGACGGATGGCGTGTAGAAAACTGAAAGATTATGGGTAATTCGACCTGCTTAAAACATTTAAGTAGGTCGCAGTGTTACATAAGGACATTTCGAAGACCCTACTTGTAAACCCTACCGAAAAATCTCACGCGAGGCGAACGGTTGTTACCCGGTGCCGCATTTCCGTTTAATTACTTACTTATTGGTTGCTAATTTACAGTTTGACCGTCTCAGGCTACATGCGAAATCACAAGGCGTTACAGGATCTCACGAAGGTGGTCCAACTTCATGTACCCTCAGCCTCCAGAAGTACCTCATATGTATGGCTTCCGTTCTGCCTGCCCTAAATGCGACGGCTGTGTGTCCCCTGATAATACTAGCGGACGCGGGGCGCTTACTGGGCATGCTAAATGTCAAATCTGCCCCAATAAAGCAAGCATGACTTGCACTTATTGTGGAAATAGTTTTATTGAAACTTAAATCTGAAAAGAAATCCACAGGGGTTTTTTATGGCCTGTAAGGTCCGCCAGAGCAGTATGGTTTCCTTCACAAAAGTCTAGACTTGGACTCGGCTCATGACATCCTTTTCAGTTTTGCGCAGCTCTTTCCTCCAGTTCAGTTTGGTTTATTTGAGGGAAATTTAGGTGTGAGTACCTTTGAACTCCCTATTTGTGTACATGCCTGTTTTTATATCGAAAAAATAGTACTTTATCTTATTGGTGATGCCAAATAATATGATTCAAAGAAGTGGATCAATGGGAAAAAGAGCAGACAATTTAAAAATGCTCCTTGTGATTTTTAAGGAAAAAACTGCCGCTCATGGGGAGGGGGGGCATTACGTTAGGTCGAAAAGGGAGAGAGGATAGCAGAGGTCACGGTGTTCATCATTGAACTGTGGAAGATGTGGCCAGATACTCTCCTTCCTGACTGCAGAGTCCACTGACAAGGTTGTGAAAACAGAAGTACCCGCCACAATCTTCGACAGTCCGTTGCGGATCGAACCGAAGCAGTACGTTTAGGCGCCGCGTAGACCATGGTCGTAAGGTGAGGTAGATGCGATTGCTGACAAGATATTCGCAGTTCGCGCAAGGTCAAATAGGGAAGACCACGAAAACCTTCGCCTGAGTATGATGATGAGAAGGCGTATGCGCTGGTTTGTGCATTCTAATTTTTGCGGGCATTGTAGTGACGTCGTTCGCGTGTTATTGGAAGGTGCACTAATATAGATAAAATATTCGATTGACCCAATTGTGAAAAATTTGCGGCCTCGGTGGGAGTCGAACCCACACAGCAGGAAAGACTTTTGCGCAACCAACGCTCTATCATTGAGCTACGAGGCTGTGAATTCAATCACACTTGGGTCAATTTGCACGCCCAGCCTCCCTCGCGGAAATTTAATTCGTTGTCATTTGT